TGTTTACAAGTCTACATACCATGTACACAATGTTTACAAGTCTACATACCATGTACACAATGTTTACAGTCTACATACCATGTACACAATGTTTACAAGTCTACATTCCATGTACACAATGTTTACAAGTCTAACAAGTCTACATTCCATGTACACAATGTTTACAAGTCTACATTCCATGTACATGTCTACATGTACATCATACAAGGACGCTTCTCTGGATGTTCGTTTAGTTTCCGTTCTGTTTTTTTTACGTTTCGCCAACAACACACCACAAGTAATAAACTGAATTATGTTCCACGAAAATAATTTCATTTGCTTTCTGTTCACGAACTAGAACGGGCTCAATAACCAGGGCGTTAAAACTGGGAAACGTGCCTAAAAAAGAGCTTACGCTAAACGTGTTGGGTGCAATTTTGAAACTGTCTGAATATTTTCAGTATATTGGTCAATAACAAGAACTTGGATGCCAATGACACAGGTATTTTCAAAACTACAAGATGTGGATGGGACGTTTTTCTATATGGGTCCTCTTTTCAGTCGGCCTGGACTAAGTTCTATTTTTTTTTTTTCTTACAGAAGAATCGTATCTACAACACATAACTATATCAAAGTTAGAAACCAATATTTTAAATTTCACACATTGCAAAATGCACGAGCATCTGGACAGGTTTGTCTTCCGGAGCAGTTTGTGATTTAATTTCAGATACCTGGTGGAGTTCCATTTTCAAACATTGGAGCTCACCCAACCCCATCACTTATCATTATCGGAACCAAGACACCTCGAGATCTGGAGAGGGTATATATATATTATCATATACGAGAAATTAAACTCAAATACATAGATAGCAAGTACACCAATAAAGAAAATATTTTAACAACTAAAAAGCAGAAATTAGAATGGGGACGTACTCCTACATTATAATATATTATAGAAATTACCTTGATTAATCATTTCAACCTTAAGCTGTGGTCATTTACCATGAAAAATAGACATAGCAGCACGGTATTCACCATCAAACAATCTTTGAACATTAATGCAGACTCACTGTCACTCTTCACTTCAATGTTTTTGAGAATTCTTACCAAACACCAGTGAAAGTCGGTCATTTTTAATGCATGCGTATTGACGATTGGTATCTCTCTCTCTCTGGGCCCGGCATGGCCAGGTGGTTAGGGCTCTCGACTCGCAATCTGAGGGTCGCGGGTTCGAATCCCACCAAACATGCTCGCCCCTTTTAGCCGTGGGGGCGTTATAATGTGACGGTAAATCCCATTATTCGTTGGTAAAAGAGTAGCCCAAGAGCTGGCGGTGGGTGGTGATGACTAGCTGCCTTCCCTCTAGTCTTACACTGCTAAATTAGGGACGGCTAGCGCAGATAGCCCTCGTGTAGCTTTGCGCGAAATCCGTAACAAACAAACATATTATCAGAATTTTAATGTTCAATATAATTCACTAATGTTCAGAAGATATTAATAAATAATATTTTCAAAAGAAACAGTTTCAGAACTAACAAATTGTATACCATACCATATAACGTAGTTCGTTATTACATTTAACGAGCAGATATTAGTGCACATGATTGGGTTAACGGGAACGCATGCATTTCTCGTTAAAGCATCAACATCGCAACGTTGCGTTGTTTTGTAGAATAATGGCAAAAAAGCCTCACTTTGACGTTATATCATTTGTTTATTAAGGAAAATGTTTAATGGATGTAATTGTAAAATATTGTCGTTTTGTCTCATGAAGAAACAATATGTAACTCTACTTAAATAAACCCAACTTACAAATTAAAATGTTCCGTCATGCACCTTAAAATTAAACGAATCATAAGGAGAGTGTATTTTATTAGTGTAATGTAACGTGGTTTCTATCGTAAATATTATGCCTAGATTTAAAATTGCTGCGGCACCAATATAATTCAAGTCTGTTGTCTTAGTTATCGTTGTGAAGGTTGCGCCATCTCTTGTAGAGAAGTTTAAACTAAGCCAGAAGCTTGCCTAAACTTTTTATGCCACCTGATCTTTCAATGTTCTTATGGGCATATTTATTTGAGAAAACTTATATGAAAATAGCTGCAACATTTCCTTACTGCTTCCTTATATGTATCAATCGTACTTTCATATATCTTGTGTGTGTTTGAAGTTATACTTATTGTTATAATCTCATGTTATGGAACTGCCATCATTGCATAGAAACTGATATTACATTATATGGTTAACTGAAAATCTTATTTGATATGAAGATACCAGGTTGCTTAGTTGTTGAGTTTTAAAAATTATGCATATATTTTAAAAGATTAATTAATTATGAAGTTATTTTGTGTGATTTTTTTTTTATAGGAACTGACAAAGAAGAACCAGACATTCATTTCCCTGACAAAGGACGTAGTACAACAGAAGCTACAAAAACCGACGACAACTCTTCTGGAAGCCTTATCATTGACACAACCACCGTTATCTCTGTCTTCGTTTTCCTGGTTACTTTGCAATTTCTGCGACCCCACTGAGGTCAAAGATCACCAGTATTCGTGCCATTTAAAGTGAAGGAAGTCAAGAGCTGTGTTATATTACGTTATCATTTGTATGTAAATGGCCATTCGCACAAGATGTGTTGGAAAGGTCAAAGGTTATATATAGTCTCATTCTGATTAATTTACATCGGACAAACTGTGACTTGCCTCGCATCTAGAATAAAGTTTTGTGTATTGATTCATAAATCAACAGCCTTCCAGAAAAACAGGCTCAACAAAAATATTACTTGTTGTGCTCTGTTTATTTTTTTTCGCTTTTTTATGTTTATACAAAGAGAAGACACACCTATGTTTTCTGTTTTCGTGTGACTTCTCATATTTTGCTTTTGTTATTGTTGATTTTTAAGTGCCATTTATTTCCTTATTTGTTTGCTACTCAGCATCTAGATCTATGCATTTCATGTTTAGAATTGCCGTCAGACGGTGCATAAGTAACCAGTGATTGTCTTATTAAAAGTGATTGAATTTAAACCTGATATTGCTTTTAAAAACTTGCGTCTTAGATTTAAAAGCATGAGCTCTGGCCCTGTGATCTAACCATTTCTAAGATATAGTGGGATAAACTTTAATATCTTGGTGCCTGTAAGTTATAGAAGAGTAAACTATAGCACGTTGATGTTTTTAGCGTATAAAAGAATAAACTATAATAAGTTGAGTCAAGTCACAAACGGCCAGAAGATGGCTTTCATGTTGTGATACTTTATTCTGTATTTGTTATTAGATAATATTTGTTCAAAATTATTATGAGTATGGCTGTTAAGGTGAAAGCACTGGATAGATGCCAACTGAAAAGAAGCCAGGACGCATGCTTGACCAGGCGACTATTACTATTGGCTTGTGATAAACATGTACAGTGGTGAATATTGATTAATTAAAATTCATACTTTGGATGTTTACTTTGTTAGCAAAAACAAATGTTGACTATATAAAAGTTAAAACTGGCAAAAATGTGAGTGAAGTGTTTATTTATAATCTACAAGGTTGTTTCATCAAATAATACTGTTTTGATAAAAACAGATGACTGCGCTGTTTGGCAGATCATAATAAAGGCTTAACTGACATTAGGCTTACACTTGTAGACATTAAAAAGTGTCGCATTTCTGTGATCACCCATACGGAATTATTTCCTTTAATTTAGGGTGAAAGTGGCCCTTTTTGTGGCCGACTATTAAGAGTAACAGGCTGCTTAGCTTTCTATTAGGAGACTGTATTTTTATACACTTACTGAAAAATATTTGATAACAATGATGATAATTGAAGTCTGTTTTATTTCAAATAGGCAATGTAGAGCAAATTTGTTTGATATTTTGTTATCTGAATTTAAACTGATATGATGATTATGTTTCAAACGATTATGAAAACGCAAATGTAGATCATATTAATAACCTATTCCTGTAAGTAAGTCCACCACAATAACTGACATTTCATACAACACGTACATTTCAAGTTATATAACTATTAACGTCCAATTATGGACTAATAAAGCTTGTAATCCATTTATAATACTGTCTACGACATATCGAAGCTTTCATTAACCTCATTTTATAATATGTTAGAAATCTAAGGAAGTATAAAGGATATCAAAAATAAATCATATACTTTGCCATTATGTTCTTTTTTTTTCTAGCCACATCATCTATCCATCCAGTTGTTTTAAAATATTTCGACAACATTTCTGATTAAATATTTTTAAAACATAAAATATATGTTAGTAATTTTAAACAGAAAAGTTTACTAGAACGAAGTTTTCTCCGAGAAAGTGTACAGATATTCTTTTTCGTACTTATCTAGTTTACTTCACGTATTAACACCTTTACTCCTTACACACACAAACACAAATTAGCTGCTTCAAGAAGTATTGAAATATATCTGTGTTGTGTTTTTGTGGATATAAAGATTAATTTGTGATGAAAGAAACGGAGAATATAGCAATATATATAAAGAATTGCACAAAAACACTTGTGAGGAACGGATCCATGAAAAAATCGTGTATGATATAACATTACACACATATACAAACAAAAAAAATAAAAAACACTTCTTTCACGAAACAATTCTTTAAAATATGCAAGTTATTATTTTTAAGTTTATAAATTGTTTCGTGTAAGAAGTCTGCCTAGCAATAAAATTGGTATGGAAGTTAGTATTCTAAATTCTAAATCGACAAGGATTTCGATGACAAAACCTCATCCATTTCTTTATTTGCTATGTCACTAGATGGCACTGCAAACGTATTAATATTTCAAGGTGTGAATAAATCGAATAACAACGTGCACAATCGAACTTCGGTACACGTGTTCTTCCATTTCACGTGCCTTCCGAAGTCGCTGTAGCAGGGTGACATCTTACAGCTAATGCTTTTAGTATTGAAAATTGTAAGTTCAAAACATTTCAACTGACATAGCCATAAATCTTCTACTTTGTTAAATTACTTATTTAAAGTTGAACCATTTGTTTTTTTTATCGATTTAAATATTGTACGAATTGTTGACAAAATAGTGATTTTGTATTATTTTCAATGAAAGGTGCAATGCTACTTGAAACACTATTCGTCGAATGATTATAGGTATATTAAAATATGCAAAGGCTTTGGGTTCTGCCACATTTTATTTTTAAACTTTTTTTCTTTTAGTAAAATAGCCAAGTTTTTGAATATTTCAATTATTTTTGTCGGGTTTAGACTTCATCTACAACATTTATTTTCAATAAACTAACTATATCAAAAACATCTAAGATACTCTGTGTCTATCAGTCAAGTGTAATGGCTTAAAAGCTTAATCGTATTTACTTGGAAATAAGTCTCAGAACATCAATTCGATGATTCTTTAAGTTTATTATCTTTGTTTAAATTTGTGCTGTGTTCTTAAAGTCAAACTTGATTTGATTCCGAAATTCAGTAACATGAGTTAAATGGATGAAAAGTCTTGACATATATTCAGTGCTTTAAGATTCGTGGTTTCGCTGCTATCGGTTTTAAACCATGATCTTCCGGATTTGTGTATCCAGAGGGCTGAATAACGGAAGTAATCCGTAAAAACATTAATAAAAGTTGGATGGTATATGACGTTATATATATATAATATATTTAAAAAGTATAAGAACAACGTCATATACCATCCAACTGCATTATCTCCAGTAAAACTTTAGAAAAATATCCGAAGAGGCATGCCCCCCTCAGTGTGACTTTGCCTTCCATTTGCCTCCAGAAGTAGCGACCCTCTTTCATAGATTTCTACTTACGTCCATTTGTATGACTTGACCAACCTTTCTGCATGTCGCGTCCAAGAGGTTTAACTGTATACCATGATAAAACAGTGTTGAAGCAATTATTGATTAGACTAAATCAAGTCCTCTGCTGGACAGATAAAAAATAAGTGGATTTCATCGATTAGCTTCAAAATTAACTGAAACATAATATGGCTCTTTTGTTGAATATTTTGTTAAGTAAGTATTAAAGAAACTGTGTCTACTATATGAAACCACGTCCCCTCAATGGGGATAAATTAACAGAGTAACGCAATGGTATCTCTTAGTAACAAAATTCTCTTAGTTACTGAAGCTTTCTTTGTAACATATCTCCGGTGGTCACCGTTGTCCCTTAGTCACTGTAGTCCCTTAGTAACTAATCTCACTTGGTTACTGTTGTTTATTAGTAGCGAATCTCACTTGGTTATTGATGTTTCTTCGTTACTAATCTCACGTGATTGTTGTTGTTTCTTAGTTACTAATCTCACGTGATTGTTGTTGTTTCTTGGTTACTAATATCACGTGATTATTGTTGTTTCTTGGTTACTAATCTCACGTGATTATTGTTGTTTCTTAGTTACTAATCTCACTTGGTTACTGTTGTTTCTTGGTTACTAATCTTATTTGATTACTATTGTTTCATAGTAGCAAGTCTCAATTAATCACTGGTGCTTTTTATATGCTTACAGTACATTAAAAGATTAGTTATTCTTTTCGGAATTATCGTTTGGCAATATTTTGTTCTTGTTTTCTGATTTATTTGTAGTTAAGCGCAAAGCTGCACAATGGGCTATCTGTGCTCTACCCACCACGAGTATCAAAATCCGGTTTCTAGCGTTGCAAGTCCGCAGAAATGTCGCTGTAATGTAATTGATTGAATATAACTGAATTAATACGGCTCTTCTATATGTGTTATAGAAAGTAACAGATCTTGTTAGATTTAGATTTGTTTAGTTTATTGCATCTTTCTGATGTATTCTGTCAAAAATATGAAGTTTCTGAAACACCTTTTTCGTTTTTTATTAGTAAATAAACTAAAGCATTTCATTAAAGGCAGAAAGTGTGTGTTCTGAAGTTGTTTTACTGTTTGGATTTTACAAAACAGCTATGTCGAGATAATTGTAGAAAATGTTCAGATTCTCTCTTTTAAGATTTGTTTTTATTTAACACCGTCCACCAGGTGTGCTATATGATGAGGATTTTTTTGTACCTATAATGTCATATTAGTTATGATTGTTAGAATAATTTGATAGTACAGTTACGACGAACATAAGCTAATAGTTTTTTATGACAATTTGTATAAATTTACTTTCCATTATTACTTTTTTTTTACATTTTGAATATCACAAAGTCAAAAACGCAATCAAGGAAGGATAATATAAATTTAGGACAAAGAGCAACGAAACTTGCATTTACTCGTTTAAATTCCGCACAGCGTGTCGTACTTGATAAAGGGATTTTCTTTACATTCAAAATTCTGATATCATGCTTTGCGTTTTGTTTTACGTACGAGTTATATCATTGAAAGTTCGCTGCGTGGATGTTTAATGCATATTTTTTCAGTTGTGATTTTATGTATTATTATTGTTGTTAAAATATCAACTTGAATATAACCTGCCCTATAAACTGTCTTTACTTGTAGTTTTGCCAGAGGTCCGAGATGTGTGTATAGTAATAGAAACTTTGATATTCCAGTATTGTTATAGTTGTATCCAGTTCAACTGTTCCCTCGTCTAATACTTTGTTTGCTTATCACCATCATTTCATACTTTTCGCTGTTAGAAGTAAGATGTTTAATACTTATACAATGACCTATTTTCAAGTGTTTTGTGCGGTAAAAATTTCCTTTGGAAGAGATAAGTGAATAAAAGACAGTTCATAATTTATCTTACACATTTTTGGTCTAGAACTATCAATTGTTCTCGCTAAAAAAAAAGAAACTGTGGTTAAGTTTCAAATTTTACAGTATGTTGCTTAACCTGTGATAATGGTCTTAGGAAATCAAAAGTGTTTAGCGAACCAAAACAAAAGAGAGCGAGATAAAGGAAAGGATGGCTAAGGCAGTTAATAAATTGATTGGTTAGAGAACGTGTGATATTTATAGGTGAGGTTTTAGACGGCTAATAAATTGATTGGTTAGAGAACGTGTGATATTTATAGGTGAGGTTTTAGACGGCGACTTCCAAAGAAAAAAAAGCTGTTGTTGGGAACTAATATATTGAATACTAATCGGTATTTACTTACTGGATGCTATTATTGATTAACTTGTATCGAGCTTTTATATAATAGCTCTCTATTTTTATATTGTTTATTAGCACTAGCTTACTAACCCAGCCATTCCGTTTATTATAGAATCACTAATGTATATAACAACGTGTTGTGTAGCATGTACAGCATTAGGTTGTAGAGCAGAGTGAAATATCCTGTGATTCTTCTAGTCCTGCACACATTAAGTGAGCAGAAGACTGAGAATGTACATAAAGTGTTTGTTTGTGCTAAACGTAGTATGAGTAGTGGGGAAACGTTATTCCAATTCATGTAACCAATGCCTGATTACCTATCCACGTTCACTAAAATTACTAGTCCATTTTATTTTTCTTGTGCGTGCGTGAATGTTTCGTGTTTTTTTTTTACTTCCAAATCTGCAGTATTGAGTGAAAACACCTTATTTTATAAGTAAACGAAGTGTAAAACAACAACAACAACAACAACAAAGGAAGAAGCATATTTTTGAATATGATCTGACAAGTTCAGTTGCCATGCCTTTACGTACACGAAGAATTTAAGGTAACGCTAACTGTGTGAGTAAATTTGAAATGAGCACGAAACGCAGAACTTCTAGCTAAGCCTAACTTTGAATATTTCTCTATTCCTTTCTTTTGTAACGAATGAATAATTACCTTAGATTTACAGATTCTTATTGATTATGTGTGTAATTGTTTAGCACAGTGCTGAAAATAAAATCAATACGTTACTATATTCTGTTTACTAAATTATTTTTGTAATTGAAATCACGAACAAGAACTATACAAAACAGAAATGCAAAAAAATATTTATATCATCCCTGTTTTAGTATTCGTTTGTGTGTTTACAAATTTCCATTAATAAGGTGTAATTAGCAGTATATATATTAGAATTTGATACTTTCACTCTTTATCCAAGTAACAATTTTTTGTCTTGTCATAAGTATATCATTATCTAGCCTAATATATAACCAGTTCGAGCTGATTACGTCGTTTTGTACGTGGTGCCGATTTTGTTGAAGCAAGTATTGTTCCGTTTTTAATGTAAAGATGAAAACTTTTCACATGTTTAGGTACTGAAGTCGGGCTGTTTATCTGTGATGGTTAGAAGGGAATCGAAGTACATGTTTGCATCCGTCTTTACCTTACACTCCTCGTGATATCATAGCCCATACTTGATATAAAGATGTTTTTTTAACAATCGAAATGACGTCAGTTAGAAAGTGGGCCGAGCATGTTCTAGTTGTTAACGTGTCGGGCTGCGGATAAAAGGATCCAGAGTTCGATGCATGATTCCTCATAACACGTCACATTCAGCTTTGGATACCTTATAAAGGTCACAGTCGACCTTCTTATTCGGTTAAGAACTGGACATGGTCCACTTGGCGATGGATGTTGTTGGGCAATAGCTCAAAATTAAGGACAGCTAATGTGTGCATAAGGTGCTTTTCACCATTTGATGTTAGTGTTTATATTGTGTGTCTTCGCATGTATTGTAAAATATGTTCCATTCACCCACTCTCGTTTCTTTTCTTTTTCTTTTTTTTATTTTGCTTTACCACGTACAAAAATACGTGCTGGCCTATTTCTGTCAGATCTTACTCCCACGCTGTTCAACATAACATCTTTGAACAACACGTTATATCACAAAACGAAGACGCACATTCAAGTCGTAAAACTGGCGGTAAAATGAGGATCCAGATATATATTATATCAAACAGTAAATATACATATTTAGAGGAATATTCTACGTTACTAACTATACTATAATATAAAACGGCTTTTGTTTCTGCGTGTCGAATATACTTCCATTTCACGACCGTGATTATCATGAAATTTTCATGTTTTTTGTGTGTACCCTAGATGGATTTGAAAATTTCTTACTCTATTCATTTTACTGTTTTTGCGAGTTTGACAGTCACTTAACCTCCCCTCCCCCTTCCTTACTCTATTCATTTTACTCTTTTTGCGAGTTTGACAGTCACTTAACCTCCCCCCCCCTCTCTGCTATAACTTTGCTGCTAATACTTTCCGAACTCTGATTGTCATCACACTTCCATCTGTTCTTGTGTGCATAAGCTAGAAGGGAACTGTCCAAAGAACTCAACTTTCAAGACTCGTTCAATATCCTTTAAGGAAAAGCTCTAACCCGATTTTCTATTAAAGAAAAACCTTCCTAAACATTTCCACGTATCCTGTAAAGTCGAAAACGTGATATCGGTTTGTTTTATCTGACATTTTGTTTCAGAATACAGTGTATCGGCAAATAAGATGTGTTGACACGAAATTAGAATCGTCGCCCATTTTTCTATTAGAACCATAAAATCAAAACTAAACATTTTGCGGTATTCAAAGTTTCGGCGCTAAATCTTCTAATAGTATTTTTCACTTGCTAATAATTAGAAGCCTACCTTATAAGTTAGTCAAAAACAAAATGTTTTCACTTCGCAACTTCATTAACGAACATACGGATCTTTCTAAATACAAGCAAATTGTGATTTACAATAAATTCATCAATACTGAACCAACTTGTGTAGCAGTAACCAAATCAGTTTGTTTGTTTAAGAAAGGAATTAAAATAATTCTGTTTACAGTTTATTATTTTCAGTCAACATGTACTTACTATATTGTCAGTTTATAGCAGTTGGTTATATTCCCAAGTAAAAGTGACTAAGTGCCAATGTAAGCAACTTCATTCCTTACACACACTGTCCATTTTGACCAGAGCGCTAGTCTAGTCAACATTTGGATTAACAATACATTGAATATTACTTCAACATAATATTCTACAAGCTGACTGTGAACAAAGTGATCTTTGAATAAAACTGAGCGGTGTTGTAACCTCATTTTATGACATCAGCTTTAGAGTAGAAGCACCTTGTGGTCAAGAGGTATTTAAAGTTTATGCTGTAATACAGGTTATTGTGGACAATGTATTATCATGACTAAAAATTGTCATATTCATTTCGAACTAATGTGTCTGTAAACATTCAAATACAAATGACTATAAGAAAAATATATTATTGGTAACATATTGCACATGTGTTAAGCCATGTTTCACTTGAATTTAAGTATATAGATTAGTTTCATCAAGGTTTATTATAAAAAACTTATGACCGACTTTGTGTAGTACATATACATATATTAAGTACATTTGCTAATGGGTACAGGCCTACTTTTTATTATAGTAAGAGTACAATAATATTTTCTAAGCATTTCATATTGAATTAAACTAATACTTTATAACAGAATGTATATAGAATTGTTAACACTTCCAAGGAGCAGAAATTTGTTCAAACTTACACGTAATTTGTTTGATGTTTGCTTTTGTTATCTGTCAGTCGCTTCTAGCAAAAACGGTTTAACTAAAAATGTGTACATGATTACAAGATTTAATAAAGTTTATGAAATATCAATGGATTTGTAGATGTTTTTGTGCTAAAACACAGAATGATGTGTGATACAGCTTCTGATTGATGAATGAAACAACTCTTACGTGACGTAACGAAAATCCCTCGTAATTTTTTATTTTATTTTATTTTTTTATTAGAGCTGTGTAATTAAAAGGCACTCTTACACATTCACACGAAACTGCTATCAACATTTATATTTACAACGCATCTTAAAATGTTAAAGGGGAAAGAGATCATCTATTCCAGAAATGAAAATCAGACCTTTTCCCCACCAGGTGTTTAACAAAGTCTGAAAATCCAACTCATTACTCCAAAGCTATTGGATATGGGAAAGACTCCAAGAACTAGAATATTTTATGCCAATACCCATTAGACCTGCCTAACGATTGAAGCACATGCATGCTGCCCTCCTGACGTCAAAGAAATAAATACCGAGTGTGGCACGGGTGCCTTTGTCAGATGTTCAATAATGCATCCCTTGAAATGGCATATACCAACAACTAGATAGTGAATTTTGAAACTCTTAGTTATAACTAAACTATGTAGCTCTCTGAAACAGATGACCGGAACATCAGTAAAATATTTTTAGCCGCGGCATAGTGGCTCATAGAATGGCTCCGAGTTTTTAAGTACAAACTTTTAGCTCGTAGCTCTGTCATCTCTTGACCGATTTGAGATATAATTACAGTTTTTGGACTCAGAAGGTCAAACCCTTTTGATTGATGTACTTGACCACGCCCAAGGTCTCATTGATTAATTTACTTTAATCCTTCCTAAAATAATTTCATTTTAAGGGTAGGCCGGTAGAGACCCTGATGAGTAATAAAATCAAATTGGGTATACGCGCGCACCATGCTTGTTATTGCGGGCACACCAAAATATAGCTAATAAAAAGGGGGGAGGTCTCATAGATTAATATACTCTAATCCTGCCTAAAAGAATTGCAAGTGCCGCAGCTATTGAGGATTCTCTCTTGTTTAAATATATTCTACCGTGTATTAATGGTTTATTTTAGAGCAAAGGCAGATTGTGACATACGCTGTGTCTCCGCGAGGAATTGAACCCCGGGTTTTAGCGATGTGAGTCCGTAAGCTTAGCGCTGTCCCACTGGGGAACGGTAAAAATGGACAGGATTTACAGTGGAAAATTTCGTAGGTTAGGAACTAAATAATGTATAAAACATATCATGATGAACCACAATCATAGGCTACACAGTTTGCACAGAGCTTCCTAGAAGTGATACGGACGCTTTGAAACGTTATAAATACCTGTATTTCTCGTCTAATACACACTAATACCTAAGTGTTCGATTTACAGTTAGTTTCAAAGCATTATTTCGACAAATTAAAGGATCATTTCTATACTCCATACCAAATATCTTTGAATTAGAAATCCCAAAAAACTACCAAATATATCTTTTTTTTATGAAAATCTACGGAGCAAGAATGTGTTTTTCAAGTTATTCAGTTAGGTAAATATCATTCTTAAGGAATCACAAGTTTGAAAACTCTTAACTACATACAAAAGATGAACCCCCAACTAACGTGACCTCCCAACTTTTAATAAACAATGTCAAGTTACTGATGTGGCGAACTCCTCTATAAATAGTTAAACACTGAAAGCAAGAAAGGTCATTATTACGATGAAGATCTAGCTAACTACGAGGTTAATCACCTCCGCCATCGAAAGTTACGGAGGCTTTGTTTTTCTCCATGTGTATGTGTTTGTCAGCAAGATTTCTTGAAAACGGCTGAATGGATTTGGGCGAAACATGGTATAAATTTGGACTATGACTCAACTTAGAAGTGATTAGTTTTTGGAGTGTCAAGGTCAAAGTTCAAGGTCCAATATGGTCACGAAAATCCAAAACATCTATTTGTTAACGTGGGGACCGATTTTTAACACTAATTTTGGTCTATAACTCAGTCGAAAAAGATCAGATTTTGATTAAACTTGCTGGACATATTTAGAATATTATTCCTCATTGTCCTGCGAAAAAATGATCTGTGTCCATCGATAACGACGGACATACGGACACATTTGCGTATTTTTATGGGGGGCCGAATATGTTCAACGCTGCGTGGCGGAGGTATGCGCTGTACTGAGTGCCCTCTAGTTCACATATGTATTACTATTTATCGTTATGTGTGGCGTTTGACAACGCTTCATCACGCTTTAATAGTGTATGGGTGCGCTTTGTTCGCTCTTTTATCTTGAAATAATGCCCCTAAGATAAAATAGGAAAGCATGTGACAGGTATATAAAATCAACATTAACACACAATTAGTCCGAGATTACTGCAGGCCCATTGTGTTATAAGCTTTTAGATTTTTCGCTGAGCCACCAGGGGGCATGCCAAACACAACCTTTTTTTTTTAAAGCGTTTTGGAGTATAGCCAAAAGCAAAAATAACGTGTTGATTATCACGAAGTATTAGGCAATTATTTCTAGAAATAAAAGCGAATTAGTTGTCCATTAATTTTATAGCATTGTTGGAAGATGATATACGAAATAATTAATCTTCTTGCTTCTTGACTTATTACCTTAACAATCGCGAAGATTTTTCAACAACTGTCAGTTCATTGTATTCTAGAGCATTGTCTAGTGACTGTTTATCAAGACTTAGGAATTACTGCTTGAACTACATTATATTATCTCTTGATAAAAAATCTTTTTTTTTCATTGAAAATAAGAACAAATAGTTTTGTCTGTCACCAGTAAATTAATATACGTAAAGCTTCGTACGAATTGCTTTCCTTTCAGTGATTTGAATTTGTTTGGTTTTGAATTTTGCGCAAAGCTACACGAAGGCTATCTGCGCTAGCCGTCCCTAATTTAGCAGTGTAAGATTACTTTTATAAATTCTTTACTGACTCACGTGTGATCGTTTATTTGCATATTTTTGCCATGGGTCAAATTTCGATGAATTTGACCTCTCTCTAGATAACATGCGAGTACATGTGTATGTAGAGAAGTGTGGCTAAAATTTTTATAGGAACTGGAATTTTTAACCTAAAGGACTAAAAAATCAGGTTGGAAGCTATTAGAATTCAGAAATGGTTGTACTTAGTTTTGAACTATACTAATGTGAGGGAAGGTAGTCAACCAGCGGCACGTGCTGCCATATGTGCGGCTTTTTGAACCGAGTTGACTGTCATTTTAATAATGTGCCAAAAGTTAAAACTGCCAAGAGTGTTCATCAGCATTACGTCTTGAAAATTAAGTCATTCGGACTGAAGCTCAGCACAATAACCGTTAGGCCAAACTCGGCCCTACTTTTCACAAAAAGCATGCATCTATAGCAGACCGTTAGGCCAAACCCGGCTTTACTTTTCACAAAAAGCATGTATCTATAGCAGACCGTTAGGCCAAACCCGGCCCTACTTTTCACAAAAAGCATGCATCTATAGCAGACCGTTAGGCCAAACCCGGCCCTACTTTTCACAAAAAGCATGCATCTATAGCAGACCGTTAGGCCAAACCCGGCCCTACTTTTCACAAAAAGCATGCATCTATAGCAGACCATTAGGCCAAACCCGGCCCTACTTTTCACAAAAAACATGTATCTATAGCATCGGTTCTCAAACTTTAGTAACCACGAAGACCCTTTTTAATTTAAATTTTTTTCGCGAATCTCCAAACCTATCGATGTTTTTTGTTTTGAATAAAAAAAAGATTCTTTGTACACGAAAAGCTGTATTTCAAAATTAAATGTTTTAATTAATATAAATTTAATTTTACGAAAAATATTTTTTATTCTATAAATCATATTTCTTTCAATATTTTTATGAAACTTGGAACATGACTCGCGGACTCCAGTTTGAGAAACGTTGTCTATGGTTATGTCATAATTCTTAGAAATTTTGCGTGTATAATTTGTGTTACCACTATTTTTGTTCATAGAAGTTTAAACTTTATTTTATCTAATTAAGTAAAGTTCCGTTCAAAAAATGAATTGCCATTTTAGTGATTAAATTTATTTTGGCTTTCTTAACAATTTAATGAATAAATAGCATGAAGCTAGTTTATTCAGATACTGAACTCATTTTCAGTGGCGTAGCTAGAAAATTTCTATGGAGGGGGGGGGGGAGCAAAATCATTTGAAATTTTCTAAATGCTAGGTACATGAAACATTTGTAATTAAATTTCTTTAAACAACAAATATGCATATGCTAGAAATTATTTTCCAGCTCATCTAAAGCTACTATTTCCCTCATCCTTCCCCCAGCTATACCACTGCCTATTATCCACCAGAAAAAAAAAAGTCAAATGAACAACATAACAGTCAATGTCGGTGTGAGTTCGTAGTTCATTCATAGTTTGACATTTAGTTTCAATGAAGTTAGGTACAATTATTAAACAATTTCAATGACATTAGTGCTGCCATCTTTTACGAAGAAACGTCATTAAAGTAAAATAATAATAGTTGGTAATTATTTGAATTTGATTTAGAATATTTGTTTGATAGAAACTTTGTAGTTCTAATTTCTGATTCAAGTTGAAAAATATCCACAAAAAATTGTTGAAATATAAGCTTATGTAACAAGTAGTCCTAAGTTTCGATTAGAAATACCATTTGGGCTCAGTCATCAAACACAGTTTTATTTTAGAAAGGTAATCAATAGATCATGTGCGCCGGATCAGGTCTGGTAGACCGTTTGTTTGTTTGTAATTAAGCACAAAGCTACACAATGGGCTATCTATGCTCTTCTCACCCTGAGTATCGAAACCCGGATTTTAGCGTTGGAAGTCTGCAGACATACCGCTGTGCCACTGGGGGGGCCTGGCAGACCGAGTAGCAGCCGGACCAACATTTTGTCACAGTAACTGTAAAGCGGATTGACATTTAATATTTATCATTTACCTGATTGTTAACCTAAGTTACACTAAATACTATATGTAAATCCGCCCCAGCTATAGGTCTTAATTTCTGTCTTCCACCACGTAAACTGAATTTTG